TCAATCGCTGAATGTCATCAATTGCCCAAGCTGAAGTGACGTGCGCAGAATCAGCATTCTTGTGGACAAAACGATCACGAACAAGTGAGATGTATCAAACGAGTAGGCTGGGAGTATGTAGCCCAACCAACCAAAAAAGGTGGGTCGGGCCTAGGAATCACAGACCCGAGGACAAGACCAAAGCCAAAGTGCTACTTCTTAAAATTGCTATCAGGATGCTGCTGGCACGAGACATACGCTACCGGTAGCTCCCCGTAGCGTATTCGTCACATCCTTGAGCTGGAGAAAACGTAACCTTCTCTCCTCTATGGAAACTTAGAGGTAATAAACGAGCTCAACACGATTGCAGCGAAGAATTGACTTTCAACGTAACACTTCCAGGGGCCCCCTCTCTACCTCCAGGACAGGACAGCCGAGCCACGACCCACTGGCTTGGTTACACCACCAGTACTTCCAAGGCACTTTCTGCCAAGGAGGCAAGACACACCCTGCGTGCCAAGTTTGGTGGAACCTGGCGGGCCCAGTACCAAATTTCATTTATTTCATGGTACGGGCGAGGGTCCATGTTGTTTCATCCAGCAGGCCTCTTCTTTGGATTTCCAACAGGGCCCATGACGCACGTTTCAGCCGGCTGTACCAACCATTTTTGTTTCTCGTTCGCCCCCCCTCCTCCCCTCCCCCCCCGGGTAACCAAACGAAGCTCGACCTGACAGCAGTCGGACTCACAGCCGCTCTGCACCAAGGGCCCTTTGTGCTTCACATTTCTATATCAAGATGTGTGCTATGAGGCCCCCCCACACTACCACTTTCCTAAATACATCTGACCGCAACGGTCAGTCCAGGATGCATCTCCACTGCATTTGAGTCCGGATCTCAGTTGAAGAAGCCCTAGTGCATGGGTCTGGCTCCACTTCTACTCACCAAATGTGCAAAATGAGAACGAATCCTAACCTAGAATATGGAAAGATACACCATCATATTTTTTGTCGCCCACGCTCTCCTTTCTGCATGGAAACCTTCTTTTTCCCCCCAGCATTAAAAGATTTGAAACTTAGTCCTCTCAATTTCAGAATTTCTCTTCTTCTCTTCGGACATTTCCAACCCATTAACTGGCCTCCCTCCCTTTTTTTTGCAAGTCTTCCAATGGTGGATCCGAAGAAAATCCAAGAAATTGTAAAACGATTGTGTGTGTGTGTGTGTGTGTGTGTGTGTGTGTGTGTGTGTGTGTGTGAGAGAGAGAGAGAGAGAGAGAGAGAGAGAGAGAGAGAGAGAGAGAGAGAGATCCGTTCAACCCCAGCAAGGGTCCACGACGGATGGTTTGGACTGCACATGCTGATGTAGAACGTATGCCATCCGAGGCTTGGACAATCTGACCACTATCACTTCCAGAGCATAGTAGAAAAATTCCGAGTGTGAGTATGCCATACTCTTCATGATTGTGGTCAGATTCGTCCAAGTCTGGCTGTAAGTGCCGTCAGATACATTTCTGAAAGTGCTAGTGTCAGTCCTCAGGTAAGCACACAACGTATCTCTGGACCCTTTCACCTTTTTTTTTTTTTTTCCGGAGAATCTCTGGACGAATGAGACTGAATCCTCCGCTTGAACATGGAAAGATGCATTGCCATATTTTGTCTTTTGTGCATGTGGAGAGTAGTGGAGCGAGGCCCATCCATAGGCCCATTGGTGAATAGTCCCGTTGAGTTTCTCACCCGTTGGACGCGTTGGGGCTTCGCTCCACCACTCGCGAAATGATCGAAAGAGAAAAAATAGGGCGATGTACCTTTCCATGTTCTAGTGGAAGATTCCTTCTCTTTTCTCACAGTTGGTGCCTCTTTTGATGGATTCTGGGGACAGGTACATCATTCTCATTTTCTTCCTTTTCGTTCTTTTCTTTTTGCCATTAGCAAAAAACTCCAGGAAGAAGGGCTGTCAGTTCCGTCGTTTTCTACTTCAGAAGTAAATAAATAGCAAACGAACGGTTTGAGAGATCACGATCCTCATCATGACTGAATCTGGCCTGAAAGAACCCTACCATACAGACTGCAAGAACCCTGCCACACACACAAGGGTGTTACACGGACCACAGCAACTTTCTAAAAGCTTTCAGGCCAACGAGCGGCCGCCAAAAAAACTTTGGCTGCCTGTTTCTTATTTTACTTTACACTAGCAGGGGCGCGGGTCTACTAAAACCTGGAGGAAACTTCCCGTGCCTGACAAGCACTCCCCCCAGAGATAGGAAGAAATCAGCAGGCAACCACTCTTTAACAATGAATGGATTAGGGACTCCCTCGGTTTCACCCTGCAATGTAATGAATCTCCATGATAAGAAAAAGAATTACAAGAATAAAAGACATTTGGGATACAGCCACCAATGATTGGATCTCTCCTAAACATTTACACAACAAACTTAAAAACATTATCATCGAGTGGAAGAAAGACTACATAGTGAAACAGTTTTCACCTTTGGCAGTAGCCGATGCAGATCCCAGGGGTCGATCCCTTGACCGCAGCTTACCTGTGTACAGTATCTGCACAGTTCCCTGGAGTTGAACCCGTGACCTGCACGATAGCCAGTGGTAAGTAGGTYGCCGTAGGTTGTAGGCTGTAGGGAGATTCGAACTGTAGACCTGTAAGGTAGGAGTCCAAGTAGAGTCCAGAGGCCTA